AATGTTGAAAGCATTTCAAGCTTGAGTTGCCAAATGAGTTTGAAAGTACATTTTCTTCATTCTCACCTCGACTACTTTCCAGAAAATTTAGGAGATGTGAGTGAAGAGGAGAAGGAAAAAAATACCAGAGAAAATGGGGCGTCTCAATGATGGCAGACTACTATTAGACGCTTCAGAGAGACCACCCAGATGCTTCATACAAACGAAAATGTGCCAATAGGAGTTTCACTGGAAAGAAGAAATGTGTTTAGTGCTTACTGCTGAATCTATTTCAGATACAGAATAAGTTTCGTTACGCAATTATAAATATAAAAAATTGTTTAGTCTTTCATGGTTTATGTTAAGATGATAACTCGTTCAACATATATATTTACATTGGCAGAATACGTGAGTCATTTTCTGATTCAACAAATCTAAAAACATAAGGATTACGTAAAACAAACAAAACAGCTCCCAATATTTTTGTTGCGGACCTGTGTAATTATTTTTGACTTGAATTTTCTTGCATTTTTGTAGAACTATCAACTTCTCTTCGTACAGAACACCTTCATAATTCACTTTCGTATGAAACGAATCAATTTTAATTCTATCACCGTTATTTCCATTCGAAACTTCCAGTTCGTGAATTATTTTCCTAGTCTGTCATGACATAAAAATTCAATATGCACTCATTTGAGTAGTCGATGTCTACATCAATTCTTCAACCTGATAATTTCGGACTGAAATAAAATTCACGTCACCATATATGAAAAGTTACTTGACTGGCTCACTAAAAACTTCTGCCGATAATTTATTTTGAGAATTACGGATGTTCATAGAATATACGAAGATTTTCATTTCCACAAGTTTCGTCAGTACATAAACTCTCTAAATTGTTTACACAAAAATGTAGAAAGCGCACTTTGAGAGACACGACCTTGTTAATACTCAACTTGAACAAGTGTCGACTTCTGAGGATTGTTGTTCGTAGGGGCAACAGTTGGTTGACGGAAAACAGTTTTTAATAGATTGTTTAACGGATATTCTCATTGAAATTCTATCTACCTGTAAACTATTTAGAGGAAACAAACAAAGAAAGAATTCAATTCAAATTATCTACAAGATTAATTCGTTCAGGCCAGTCTCAACTTGTCTACATTGTAGGTTAATGGACTGATACCTGTCAGAAAATAACTACTCCCCTGGCTAATACCACGAAGGGCGTTGGATTATACCCGACAGGTGTCAGTGCAGGATTTTTCACTGAAGTTATTCCTGCATATGCTGTTGGCGATACAACTGCCGGAATAGATTTTAAATTATTGATACACACTTTCGATTCGAACTGTTTGGCCATTCGTCAGTGCAAGGTAGTATCTATCATCAACATAAAGTTGATGATTTCCCATGATTGAAAATCGAATTCTTTCAGAGCATCACTTCTCGAATTAGCCTGAAACGAACGACAAACAACATGTTTGTCATCGCCCCATCTGCCTGTGAACGAGGTAACCAACCGCATATCCGAATTTGCCTAAATTCCTCGTATAAGGAAAGAAAACTGTACACGAAGTACATGGGCATACTTGAAGACTGGCTATAAATTAAATTATCTACAAGAACAACTTGTTCAGGCCAATCTCAACTTACCTATACTTCAGGTTAATGGACTAACATCTGTCAGATAGTGTCTATCATCAACATAGAGTCGATGATGGGAAATTATCGACTTTATGTTGCACTTACGAGTGGCCAAAGAGCCTGAAACTGGTCTGCAAGTGTGTTCTGATAATTGAAAATCGATTCCTGCAGTTGAATCACCAACAGCTTATGCAGAAATAATTTCTGTTAAGAATCCTGCACTGACACCTGTCGGATATAATCCAACGCCCTTGGTGGTATAAGCCAGGGGAGTAGTTGTTTTCTGACAGGTGTCAGTCCATTAATCAAAAGTGTAGGCTTGAACGAATTGTTTTTGTAGATTATTTGATTCATAAGCCCGTCTTCAAGTATGCCCATTTAGTTTATGTACAGAATTCAGATGGTTCAATGTTTTTTTTTTTAATTTTCCTTCATTGAAAATTTTATTAATCTGTATCTGGTATTACCATAAGGTACAAAAAAATCAATGTTTCGAATAATATACTTAGAGTTTCATATAAATAAATGAAAATTACAGTGTGGATCTTGAATTGGACTGATTGTTATATCTCTCACAAATGAAATGAAATCGTCTATCACAGGAATTGTCATTCCACTCGAGACGACCATCATCAATGAATAGATGTAAACATTTCTCATCAATATCATTCGGTTCACCTTCGGCCCATCTTGTGAAGTCAATGGGTTCAGCATAGGGTAACCACAGCCAGGTGTATCCATCGACTAGTCTTGTACCTGATGACCAGTAATCACCACCTTTACCTGTAACAATTGTATTTGTAATGCACTCGAAAAATCTTATATTTTATGTCACAAAAATTAGGTCAATTATCATTGAATGCGATATAAAATATAATTGACCATGCTGTAGTACAATCGTGTATCTAACTTAAACAGTATGTAAAAGCCAAATGGAATAATTTCATTATTTCGGTTACGGTACATATTTTAACAAGATCCCGAAACACATCAAATTCAAATTATAATTTTACATACTCAAACTGAAAAATGCTATCCCTACCTTCAACCCCCGTCGAATGACAGGTACAACCCCCAATTTTTTAAATGAGAAGTATAGGCTTGTGATATAATCATTTGAGAGGTCTCTCCATTCTCTATTCAAAAATGTTATCGCTATGANCGAGATTTGTTCTATTCCGCTTTTGCGCAACCAGAACGATGCTTTTTGGATCGGATTATCACGATCGAATCCTCTACGACAACAAGAGATATTCAGGACAGTGGTTGGACACCGACGAGCTACCTAGGCACTTCACACAGGCGAAAATCCACCAAAAAAAGACCATTATTACTGCATGGTGGTCAGTGGCTGATGTGTATTATTGTGAGGAAATCGACGAAATATGCCAGCCGGCACTGAGTGTCAAAATTCTGCCTTACCCACCTCTCCCCGCACTTCTCGCTAACCGACTACTTTCGCCAATCAGGCCAAGGAATAAACGGCCTTTGCCGACTTCACCGAATCCCAAAGACCCAATTTCTATGCTGATACAATAAGTCGACTTGTGTTACGTTGGCGGAATGGCACTCATTTCCATTGAATTGAATGAGTATTCTCTGAGATATTACAGTTTGAAGAAGACTCATAAAAATGGACAAAACTTCCGAAACAACCTGATAAAATGACTTCAGCTTCACCAATAATCGATATTTTTCTCAAGAGAATTTATCTAGTTGAAATTGGAATGATTCTGCAACGTTACATGGCTGACGGACTGCGAATAGCCATGATGCTCCCTAGGTCACCCAGGATACGAGGCTAATGACCAAAAAAAATCGATATTTTCTGGTTTCGCAACTATTTCTGACAGTCATATTTCTACTCATACTTGAGAGAAATATGGCATGTATCATATCACCAATTATATCTGTCTCAGTAACAGACTACATGTTTAGTACTTCAGGTTCCATTCGACCACGGCTCACGAGCCCGGATTTTATTCTCTTTGATAGTGACTTCGGCAGTGAGACCAAACTTGAGACCGAACATATAAATTTCAGAGTGAATAAGATTTGTCACCACCCTCGTGAAATATTACATCAAATCAAATCAAATCAAATCAAATATGCTTAATTGTCCAAAGTATAAACTCGTTGACAAAGCTAATCATGTATAAATGAGATTCACTATAATAACTATACATTATACATATACATTGGTTTAATGTATGTGTCATACTGAAATATGGTTACGATTTTTAGTGAACAGCTAAAACAATTATAGATAAATGAAGGAATATGCATATATAAACGCACATAAATACCACACACATACATATTTATATACATCCTAAATAAACGAATACTCAGACATTAACAGGTAAATAAGGAAGTGAATAGATAAAATATATGAATAAATAAGATAAACAGACACTTTTCAAAATTGCAGGAGCTATTAAAATCAATATAAGCAGTGCTTGAACAGGAAATAATTTCATTTCAGAATTCCATCCATACTCTTGAACACTATAAAACACCTGGTTAATGAGAACTTGCTTTACAGATTTCCTGAACTGATAAGGTGATTGGATATCTTTAAGACTGGTGGGTAGATGGTTATATATTTTAGCTGAATTATAGATCAATGAGTTTTTAATCAAATTTGATGATGGAATAGGCAGTCTTAATTTGTCGCTTTGGCGAGTGAAACCAATAACAACATCGTAAGACGATTTGTTCTTATGTACTAGGCACACAGTTTCGAGTATGAATAAAGAAGAAAGCGTTAGTAATTTTTGCTCCTTGAACAACGGTTAACAAGACTCTCTAGGCCCAACTTTGCACAGATATCGGATGGCACGCTTTTGAAGAATGAAGACTGTATTGAAGTGTTGTTGGTTGCAGGTGCCCCAGAATGATATGCCATATCTTAGATACGATTCAACCACAGCGTGGTACACAATTTTTGCAGTTACAATACCCAATTCATTTGACACCGTTCGTAAGGCATAACACCCCGAAGCTATTTTTTTGCTCAGCAAACTAATATGGTTATTGAAATTGAGGTTGCTGTCCAGATTGATTCCAAGAAATTTATTTAGTTTTTTGTTTGATATAATATCATTACCCATCGGAATGCCTGACAAGTTGCAATTGGATGATATAAGATTGGTTTTTTCTATATTGAAGGATAACAGATTGGAGTTGCACCACTCTCTCACTTTAAGAATATCTTGTGCTATTTTTTTTTGAAGATCATTTTCATTAGTGTCATGCCACAGGATGGTTGACTACCTGTAAGAACAATTTTGTCCCGCTTGTCAGGTGTAAGAAACATTTTATCATTAATTATTCATGAAAAACTACCTGCAAAATAAGTTTCCAGGTGAATAATATGTGATAAGTGTAGCAGAAAAAGTTACATGTTCATTATCATCTTTTGGACCCGCTGACCCGCTGACCGACCTCGGCACTTTCTTACTCGATGAAAACAGCTACAGCTACAGAACAAACACATGACATCACCGCAAAAGAAATGCAGTCGGCAACCGCCGGTAAAACTCTAGTCGAGTATCGAACCGAAATGGAAGTTCGAACTAGTGAAATCGAGAAAGAACCGTTACACTATATAAGTCTGGCTTTCTGACCCAAAGGGGAGTTCAGAAAGTGAAAGACACTCAATCAATGATGCATTATTTGGAACCTCGACACGTGTTTCAATCACCAAGTGATCATCTTCAAAGAGGAAGATTAAACTGATCTTTTTTCTTTCTTCTCTTCTTCTTATCTTCCTCTTTGAAGATGATCACTTGGTGATCGAAATACGTGTCGAGGTGTTAAAAATAACGATTTGGTGTTGGAAAAAAACTCCAGTAATATTTAAGACACACAATTATTAAATTTGTCACAAGTGATGATCAGAAGTAGATTTGTAAAATAAATCTGTGAGCGCTTCGTGGACAATCTTTGTATTGTGGTGAAATTAACTATAAGACTTATTTGTTCGAGCAGAAGGACTGGTGATTTGTTGTATTTCGCGAAGTGGATAGTAACGGACTACGGAAACATAAACTGATAGACCTATCTCGCGAAAAATAGACTTGTGGAAATGAATAAGTGTTTTGGAATCGATTAAAATCAGTAGACATTTACAGTTTTGTGTAAAATAGACAAAATGTGTTCGAGGGCAGTGCGCCTAGTGGACTCAAAAATTGCCGAATTGAAGCAAGAATTGGAGGAGAAGGACCTAGATTGTTCCGGAAAGAAATCAGTATTCCGAAAGAGACTGTGGGATAACTTGACTGAATCAGGAGAAGATCCCGAAACAATAATGAGCAAACTCGATGATAATACCAAATCGCTGAAGATGAACTTCAACAAATTTCGAAGTGCCTGGAGGAGAAGCTTCGCGAAAATTCGGTGAGTTCAAAGGATGAACTTTAACAGACAAGATAGTCAGCGATATGGGGAAAAAAGGAGTCATCGAACCTTCTGACACCCCTGGTCTTCCCCAGTCGTATTGGTGAAAGAGAAGGACGGCTCGACAGAGTTATGCGTGGAGTATTACCAAGTAAATAACGTGATGAATAAAGACAGCTACCCTCTTCCAAGAAACGACGACACCCTAGACACTCTAGCCGGCTCCACAATTTTCTCGACTTTGGATTTGAACAGTGGATGTTGACAAGTTGAATTGGTCCCAGAAGATCGAGAAAAGACAGCTTTTACCATCGGCTCAGGAGTGTGGCAGTTCACGGTTATGCTATTCGGGCGTTGTAATGCTCCAGCGACCTTCGAGAGATTGATGGAGACGGTTTTCAAGGGGCTCTCATGGAAGACGTGTCTTGTGTATCTCGTTCGTGTAATTGTTAGACGATCACTTGAAAAATCTGGAGGAGGTATTCATGCGTCTGAATAATTCTGGATTCAAACTAAGTCCCAAGAAATTCCATCTGTTCCAGGAAGAAGTCCGGTACCTTGGCTACGTTGTCTCTGGGGAAAGAGTGGTGGTAGACGAACAAAAGATCAAAGCATTTACGGATTGGCCCATTCCAAATGACATACATCGGCTTAGGAGCTTCCTTGATTTGTGCATATACTATCGTAGATATGTGCTGGAGTTTCCTAACATTGACAAACCATTGACCCGACTCACAGAAGGACAGATCCAGTTCCGGTGGTCCGAGGAATACCAGGACTCATTCAACGAAAAATTAATTCTAGATACGGATGCCAGCAACGTTGGAGCAGTCCTTTCTCAGATCCAGGATGGACAGGAGAAAGTTATTGACTACTTCAGCAAAACGGTCTATGAAATAGAGCGCAATCATTGTATCACCAGGCGAGAGCTGTTGGCCGTTGTCAAAAGTGTAGAACATTTCTACAAATACGTCTATGGAAGAAGACCATGCAGCTCTCAAATGGCTTTTGCAGTTCAAAAATCCCGAAGGCCAAGTAGCGCGCTGAATCGAGATACTTCAATAATTTGACTTCGAATTAGAACATCAAGCTGAGACTAGCCATAAAAACGCAGATGCCCTGTCACGGAGGCCATGCCCCGATGACTGCTCACATTGCCGACGAGCAGAAGAGAAGAAAGCAGCTATTTGTAGAGCTACAGCTGTAGATGACAACTGGGAGGATAATAATATCAAGGAAGACCAAGAGAAAGACCCAGATCTTGGTTTAGTTATCGAATGGAGAAAAATTAATCGAAGACCATCGTGGCAGGAGGTAGCAAGTTATTCGCGAATGATTAAGTCCTATTGGGCCCAATGGAACTAACTTACCTTGGAAAGCGGGGTTCTGCAGCGGGTGTTGAAGTTCGAAGACGGTGGAGGAAAAAAGCGTCAGACAGTGGAACCCAGGAACAAACGACGGTGGCTGCTCAAAGAAATCCATGATGGAGTCACTGAAGGACATCTGGGAGTAACGAAGACCCTCCAGTGAGTAAGACACCGGTTTTACTGGGTTAATTGTCAAGCAGACATCAAGGACTGGTGCAGAAAATGTGCTGTATGTGCTGCCAGTAACGGACCTCGGATACGACCGAGAGCTCCAATGTGCCAGTATGACGTAGATAGTCCCTTTGAGAGAATCGCCATCGACATGGCCGGCCCATTCCTAGAGTCCGACCACGGGAACAAATACGTCCTGGTAGCCATGGACTACTTCAGTAAGTATGCAGAAGCCTATGCCCTACCCAACCAGGAAGCCTTTGCCTTCGCTGACGTCCTAGTAAAGGAATGGATATGTCTATTCGGTGTTCCATTGGAGCTGCATTCGAAACAGGACAGAAATTTCGAGTTCAACTTGTTTCAAGAAATGTGTAAACTGTTGGACATTCCAAAGACCAGAAGCACAGCCTTACATCCACAGTCCTTTTGGCCTATCGTTTGGCAGTGCATGAGTAAACCGGCCAAACCCCTGCCAGTATTATAATGGGCCGAGAACATCAAGCTTCGACAGAGAATGGACGATAGTCATGAACGAGTCTGAACATCCGGAGTGCCAGCGATAGGATGAAGAAGGCCTATGACATCAAGGCGAACGTTGGAGGATTCGAAACCGGTGACCTAGTTTGGCTGTAAAACCCTAAGCAACGCCGTGGTTTATCACCGAAGTTGCGGAACTCGTGGAAAGGTCCGTACAAAATCACGAAGAAGGAAAGCCTAGGGTGGTCCATTTCAATAGATTGGCTGCCTATGCTGGAAATCACGACCAAGTTCGCGCCCTCAGGCCACCAGGGGATGAAATAACGTTCCAGAAGTTCAAGTCTTCATACTCGAACGGACAGAAGGTCGTACATGGAGTAACTCAAGAAGAGCCACGAAACGTTTTCAAGGTTCAAGTTGATTACGCACTAGCTCACTGTGTGTCAGAGGATCTTTAAATGTCCAGGGGTATCGCTGTGGTATTCAACAAGAAATTCGGTCAGCTCCAAACATTACGAGAACAGAATCCTGAAGGAGTGCTACAGTTGAAGAAGGGTCAGAGAAACATTATCTACTTGGTGATCAAAAACCATTCTCTAAACAAACAACCGTCCTATGAAGATGGGGAGTTCAGAAAGTGAATCGAGCGGTTGAACAAGGAATTCAAATAGTGGAAATAAATTAAGCGTTAGTTGCTAAGTGTTGAAAATAAATTAGGTCGTGATTAGTGAAATATTATTGGAAATAAATTTGTTTGAGACAGTTAATTCTTTAACTTGTCACAATATTCTTACAGACAGCTAGGCTGCAATTGGAGCGCTAACGAAGCTGAAAATGAATGGGGTCTGGGAAAGCAGTGAAGAAGTGAGGGTGCTGACGGAAAGGAATATATTGACTTCATACTGTCTCCCAAGACATGCAGAAATCACATGCATCGAAAAAAACTGGCGAGTATGCCAGATACAACATCATCATCAACTACATCAGTCCCCAACTGAATAATAATTATGGAATGGAAAACGGCAATGGTACCAATGTTGAGTTTGTTGGATAGATAAAAATACTTTTATTATCTATTATTTGTTATCATTATGCTTCACATAGCTTCACCATGTTAAGTGATACTCACTGGCTTCTCTGATATATTTGAAAATCCTCTCATTCTCTTCAGCTGAACGTATTGCCAATAGTTTCATATGGATTTCATTGCAGAATTGAATGGCTTCATGGAAGGTAGCCTAAAAACATTGAAAAAAATATATTATGGTTATGATGACGTAATTTAGATTGAAACGTATGAGACGATTTACTGAAATTTTAGAGTATCTCATTCAAAATTTTTAGCGCTGGACTTTCGTCTATAATTTATAAAAATATTATTTTACAAATTACACATATATAGTTTTCCAAAGTTTCAGCCAAATTGTTAGTGTTTTTTCCAAAAATATATGTCGCTATTCTTCTAATTGACATTGCTTTTTCATTCATGATTAAACTTTTTTTTAAATTTTTTTCGTCATTGATAGAGACAGATACCACCTCATCATTATCATAGATGAAGCCTTTCGTTTGTGTTGTTGTTCTTTCCTCAAAAACTTTATTACATCAGTGATTTGTATTTTTATTATGCTTTTAAAAAGCCTGATGTTTTTATAGTAGTTATGTTTTCAACACAAAGAAACTTCTTTCTGATGAGTATTTATTCATTCTTATAGAGCCCTGTAAAATGATTTTATCAAATCTGTAACGCTGGCAAAAATATAATTGTTTTTTTTTAAATCATCGTGTTACCCAACTAAGCCTCATTGAGAAAAAATATGTACACTATTCACCACTCATATCAATAAATTCTACTGGATTGACGTTATCAGGAAATAGTAAGTTAACCAGCTGGTGAACTCGGTTTAGTTTTCGACACTGAACGAAATGATCACAACTCTGCCACCAAGTTGGAACCCGTTCAGCAAAAGGCCCATATAAAAGCCGCAGATATCACTTCACTTCTGTGGCAACATAAGAATGAGCCCATGCATGAGGTCTTCAACAACAATGTTGTTGAAGAATACCTTGGCTTATAGCGCCTGACCTCCGCCTTCCACAGGTCGGGTGGGCTGAATTCGGACAATGAGGGGTTCGTCATGGCCTGCCAGGATGATGTTTTCAATACCTTAGTCTACAGCTATCGTGTGATGGGTAAAGAGGTTCCTGACACAAAGTGCAGGCCCTACCGCGAGGCGTTTGACACGAGAAGTGCCGAATTTATTGGAACTATTTGTTCTCCATCGTCAGGTTCATGAGAACTGATGAACCTTGATTTAGTCCTTCTCGACCCCCAGAACAAGACAATATTTGTCGTGAAGTTTTCAGCTCCTGGCGAGATGAATATCGCCCGAGGAGAGAATAAAAAAATTATTAAAAACTCCTCTCAATGCGTTGAAAATATCTTTTGGATGGCTGACGTCTCTCAGGGTACAATTCCCCATATGAAGCTAGAAATCCAGAAATATTTCTTAATCACATCTCGCGTATACGAATAGCATATCAGTTTTTCATTAGAAAAAAATCATCGTTTTCCCCTCATAAATAAGTACATTCCTATGCGTTTGTTTCAGTAGCTAGACGCTTCGCCTTTCGCACCACAAAGGCGCAACACAAAAAATATAGTAAGATCTATACTCTCACATACAAAAACCAACAGAAAAAAAAAACAAAAAATCCATTTACCAAGATGCCTTCAAGACCATTGAAATTGCGTGAGGATGAACATTCAGATCACATCAGGAATAAACAATTGTCATAGGGATGTTCAAAAATGAAGTGAACCAAAGGAAAAATTACTAGTTACATTGGATTTTTTCCAATTTTGAAGAGTGAGTTGTTAAGATAAGTATCTGTATATTTTGGGTAGCCAAAATACAACAAATTACTGATGAATAGAGTATTTTTCTTTGTGAAAAATACTTTGAATTTACGAAGTAACTTATCGGGCTGATATATCTATACAGGGTGTCATTTCGAAAACTTCCCACCCTTAATATCTTCCTTCCAGTAAACAATATGAGGAATCAAAAAAACTGATCAATTTTATTGTCAAGAGGGACACTTTCGAAGACTATTTGTGGGTCTCGTGGTTCAACTCCCTAGAATTTTAAATGGGGAAGAGGGGTCAAGTGTCACATCATTTTGATTGGCGTTCAATTCTGCTTCCAATTGAACCCTTACTTATTATTTTTTGATGAGCATTTTCCGAAAATATCGTTCTGAACTAATAGTACGCCTATGCATGGTTTGACCAGAACTGGTAAGAATATTAGGTGGTATCGTTCCAATCCTTCATTAGGGGTAACATTAGCGTCAGTAGTCTAATAGGAAAACGTAGATGGTAGTGGCAGAAAGTGTATGAATAGCCGTTCTTTTTGCTACTTCTGCTGTAAAAAGTATCTGTTTTCAGACAAAAAATTGGTTGGCAAATTTGAACGATTGTGCATATAGTTTTACCTGTTGGGCTGTTTGGTGATTACTTTAATGAGTATATACAAGTGTAGAAATGGTTTACATTTTCCAAGATAAAATCGAAATGATTATAATTTATGGAGAAGTTGAAAAGTGCACACGGAGGGCGGCATGTCTTTTTAACGAAATACATCCAAATTGTAACATGTCACATTGTAACATGTGCTTGATTTTGTGAATAAGTTTTACGAAACTGGTTCTGTGACAAACAAAAAAAAGACATAACCCCAGTACTTAATGAAACAGCTGTCATTGAAGTTTTGAGAACATTTGCTGCATAGCCCACGAGCTCCTTACGTTCAGTATCAGAACAGAAAGGAATGTCACACGAGACTGTAAAGAAAGAATGGAAAATGCATACATTTCATCCTTATAAAATGCGGATTCTTCAAGAGCCCCATGAGGATGATTATGATAGAAGAATAGAGTTTTGTGAAACCATGTTTCATCGAGTCAATACCATCCCTAATATTTTGTTAAACATCTGTTTCAGCGATGAGTGTTCATTTTTTCTGAATGGCAATGTTAATAGACTAAATGCCATTAATAGTCCATTATTTATGGAAGAAAACTTGACAGGCAATCTGTACCTAGAAATGTTCGAAACGACTATCGATTCTCCAATAAGTCACGAGCTAGAAACTCAAATGAATGCAAAAGGTAATGCACTTTCGCAGGAGGACCTGTTACATTTCCAGTAGGTCGGTGTGTGTGTGTGTGTGTATGAGAGAATTGGCATTGGAATTATCCTTTTGCCACAGAGTGTATCAGTAGGTCGGTGCTCTACCTCAATATAGGTCGGTGCTCTACCTCAATATTTTCTTCCAGTCCGACAGTGGTTGAAAGGGGGATTTTCGGATAGATGAATTGGCAGAAGGGAAGCAGTTGAACGGCCTCAGAGTTCACCGGATTTAACACCCATAGATTTCTTTCTTTGGGGGCATCTTAAATCCAATGCTCATAAAACACAACCTTCAGATATCGAAGAACTTAAAAAATGAATAACATCAGCATGCCAGTCAATTCCTAGTGAAGTTTTCCCTTATGTTAGAGAGGAGTTTCAAAACAGACACTATTATTGTTTGGAGCAGAATGGACGACATTTCGAACAGTTTATAAGATGAGCGTAGATAGATTTTATGTTTGAAATGTCTTTCCCGCAAATTAAATTTCATTTTGTAAAAGGACAATAACTAACCAATAAAAAATCCCACGCGTAATATATTTATTCCTGTCATTCAAGGGTTGGAACGGTGCCACCTACTCCTCTTACCATTTTTTTCAAAAGAAGTCAATACAATAATGCATCTCAGAACAGGCAAATTCTAATAGCATGTGTATGTTTAGAATGTTATTTTTTGGAAAATGTTGATGAAAAAATAATGAGTCAGGGTACTACTGAAAGCAGAATTGAGCGCCAATCAAAATGATGTGCCACTTGACCCCGTTTTCCATTTATAATTCTAAGGAAAACATCTACCCCTCCTAGAGGTTTGAACCACGAGGGCTACAAATAGTCCTTGAAAGTGTCACCCTTGACAATAAAATTTACCTGTTTTTTTGATGCTTCATATTGTTCACTGGAAGGAAGATATTGAGGGTGGAAGTTTTCAAATTGACACCCTGTTTAAATATCTCCAATAGAATTGTTTATTTTTTCACCCTACCGCAAAGGTTTTATTGATCACCAACTATGAAATTCAGCAATGTTTTACTTACCTCAAAGTGTGTTCCCATGTAATAACTCTTTCCTTGATGCTGATGTAAAGGTAATATAGATGTTATTCTTTTATCGAACACTTTCTCCCAACCAGCATCTACGAAAAATTTGTTTTTCAATATAAAAGTGAAATTTTAGAATATGTTTTATTTTATTCAAGCACTGATGGGTCTCACATAACAGTCAGTAGTTTGTAAGGCTACTATTGAAAAATAGAAATGTGTGACTTCAGAAAACTTTTTATGTTGAATTGAATTTTTTTTGACGATGAATAACAAGTAGTAAATTGATGATAAAAAGTAAAATAGTAAAATATGATAGAACTGACGGATGCGATTATAGTTGATGGAAATCCATTACAACGTATGTGAGATTTCCATTTGAAAGTAGAAAATTTCACATTGAATTACGTTCTTCGAATAAAATAGTGGAACATAAGGATATAGGAAAAATTACTGGAACTAGAATTTTGCATTTTTCATTAGAATGTTTCGCATTGCTTCACTTATTCAAAACAGAACATCACTCAGAAATCTTGTGCGTGTTGAGGGCATCTGAGGCGGAAATTTCATGTATTGTATTTGCAAAATATCGGTCATATATGACGTGAGACTTCTGCGAGTAGATTAAAGTGGTCCTGAAGAATTATGTTCGTAATGTGAATTATGTTTAGATGATCATCACTTTCATGAGTTTCATCATTGCATGTCACATATACATTTTTTTCATGAACAAATTATTTAGTAAAACATTGAACTTCACAAATATGTCTCATATCAAATTATTTCCTGTGAGCTAATGCAGACACGTATTTTCTCAATCAATGAAAATCTGCATTTCTGCTGAAGAATTCCTAATGTGAGAAATATACTATTTTATTAACAAACATAGGGAAATTTATTAAGAATTCGAAATGACGTTATTTCAAGTCTATTCTAGAAACGTAATTTCATGAATGTAAGAAAGGTCAGTCATTTTTATCATTTTTTAGACGATCTATAAATTATATGACTGGCAATGTAAATGAAATTTGTTTTTTCAGGATTTCAATAATTGATAAAACACTGAGAATTATAACAGTTGGACTGAGAAGTTTGTAGGCTAGCATAGCTATTTTCTTTTGGCAAAATTCGATTTTATTACTCAATATCATTGTCTTCGAAGGCGATACATCGATTATAGCAGTAATACGATTTTTCGATACCACTTTTCAAATCGATTTGTCTTAAGCCTCAAAATATGTATCAGCAGCAAGCATTCTTTTGAGATCTGAGTAACGAAAGAAGTCGCTGGGGCCAAATCTGGAGAATATGGTTAATGCAAAAGCAATTCGAAACCCAATTCATGCAATTTTGCTATTGTTTTCATTGACTTGTGACACGGTGCATTGTCTTGATGGAACAGCATTTTTTTCCATCAAATAATGCCGTTTTTCCACGATATCGTCCTTCAAACGCTCCAATAATGCTGTGTAATAGTCGCTGTTGACGATTTTTTCCTTTTCGAAATAGTCGATGAATATTATACCATGCGTATCCCAAAATACTATTACCATAACCTTGCCAGCCGACGGTTGCGTCTTTGCACGCTTTGAAGTCGATTTACCAGGTGTAGTCCACTGAGATGACGATAGTTACGATTCTGGTGTGAAATGATAAAGCCATGTTTTATCCATTGTCACATATCGACGCATAAACTCGGGTTTTTTTATGGTGGAATAGCTTGGAACAGTGCTAAGAATCATCAATTCCCTGTTGATTCTGGTCGATTATGAGCTCGCTAAGCACACACTTTGAACAGAGATTTCGCGTATGGCCAACACGTTCCTTCGATATCTTTGGAGACTCAGTTATCTCGATCAATTTCACTTTGCGGTCATCCAAAATTATTTTGTGGACTTTTTCGATGTTTTCATCGGTAACAGCCTATTTGGGGCGTCCACTACGTGCATCGTCTTCGGTGCTCATTTCACCTCGTTTAAACTTGGCAAACCACTTCTCAACGGTTGATTTTCCTGGTGCAAAATCCGAATAATGTTTATCAAGCCCAGTCTTGGCTTCGAGAGTTTTTTTTGCCACAAAGCAATGCTCCATTCACCCACGAGTTTTTTTATTCATTTTCTTCAAACCAACAAAAGTTGCTTCACTCAAAATGCTTTATCCCACAAACTGATAGTCCGACAGATGTGATATTTGTTCACTTGGCTTTTGAAGGTTTGATTCAACTAAAAATAATATGGATTGATTTTATTAGTACTGCCAACTGTGTATTATCCTACGAACTTTTCAGCCACCTAATAACTATATCATATATATGGGATATATATCTTCAAGCTAACGTATTTCTATATAATAAATAATAATAATAAAAACGTTCATCTCAATAACGTGTAGATGATACAATTAGGTAAAATAGTGAGAAGTAATACGTCACTAAAGCATCTCTTCTCTGTGACAGATATAGCTATACTAAAAAAATTAAAAAATACAGTGATTCAAATAAATAAACAATTGATAAAAGAAAGTTGTGTTTACAATAAAACAATAATTAGATAATCCTGTAACTAACAGGCAATTTATATACAATGATTTGTTTCAAAATTTGTATTCCTAATAAATACAGTGATATAAATAATTTTCTTATTAGTCATTGGGCTATGCTTGAAGACTGGCAATAAACAAATCTAGAGAAAAATTAAATATAATTGAATAGAGAAAGAAGAAATTGTGATTATGATAACACAAACATTTGAATAATCATAAAACTAACATGCAGTGGATATAGAACAATTTGATTCAGATTTGAATTCCTAATAAATAAGAGTTATCATGGTAAAAACTGATGTAATTCAAAATGTTAAAACAGAGTGTTTAATTTTTCTATTATTACAAGCAGGAAATAAGTTAATATTTGAAAGTGAGAGCTTTGTGTATTCTTTAATAACGTGATTTCAAGATCAAATGAAAGTCCTTCATTTAAAAAAAGCAAAAAGACCAATTATTTGAATTTCTTATGAAACAGTGCATATACTTTGTGACGTTAACCATCTTGACTTTATTCAGGTTGAAGCCTGGCCTCCTTCCCCTTTTAACTGAATACTTTGTGATTATGGCCATCATTTGTGAGATGCTCATTCTAGGATATTATATGTACATCATTTTCATGTTTCAAATATCCAATAACACATATGGAATTAAATATATCTTGTACGTACTGTTAGATATCGGAGGATACTCTGCCAACCTGTAGACATGCACGTGCACCCCTGCAAGTTATTTCAATGCATAAACAGCCAAGAATTTATTCAACCGATACATTTTGTACTTTGAGTTCCGGACCTCAATTAATATTGGGAATTTAAGAATTGGGTTGAAATATCTAGTTTTCAATGATACTTTTCAAAACGTAACTATATAATTTTCTGATAAGTTCAGCCGTTACTTGATGAAGATCCATAGTTATTTCACAAACTATACCGGACATGATTTGATTCCCACAAACTTCATTTTCAAAAATATTACGTGTATCAAAGTAGCCTTCCTAAAATTCGCATCTTTTCTCCAACTCAATTTTGAATTGTACAGTTGAAAAAGCTGTACTTTGGGACCATTTTCTTTCCACAAAAACTAAGGCCTGTTGCGAATATTTTTGCAGAATAATAATAATATTTTCTCCTCTTGTTTTACATTACTTCACACAGTGCAGAAGAAAAGCAGGGAAGGGGAATAAATGGTCAAACCTACAGAAGATCAAGTCTATGCGTAGAAGTCGATCAAACGATTTTTAGGAAAAAATTGACCATTGGACTGGTATATCAAATTTCATAAAAAAATACTCAATATTGATAATTCTGTGATGGACTCAAAAATTTTTTTACTATGAGTATCTGATGCACTGAAAAGTGAAAGGAATATCGAGTAATCGTTGATGACTATGTGGCAAATTGAATAAACGAATAAACGTAGTCATTCTGATCAATCAATCATTGGAAAAATTAAACAATTTGAAAACGTTGATCAAATGTTTGTTGTTCCAAACAATCCGTCATTTATTGCACTGCACTTGTCATACCTTCCTCTCTCAGTTGTTCTGTTTTTTGGAGTAGTCTCGACCCAATATTCAGTGCCTTGAATATTGGGTCGAGACTACTCCATTACTAGTGAACCAAGCTTCATCACTAAACAAAATTGTTTTGAAGGAAATTAAATCATTCAAATATTCTCCTTGAGTCCACAGACAGAACTCAAACCTTCAAACCGGTTCCAGAGTGTGTAAACATTTTTTTGCTTGAATGGTTTAATTTTATTTTTAACAAGGTCTTCTCTTGATATTTTTTTATGGATATTTGAGTTCAAATTAGTCGTTCGCAAGCTTGATTGGGGATTTTTAGGAAAATATTACAATATTCGCACACCATTTCTATTCTCACGATGTTGATTGTTTCGGTTTTTGAGCATACGCCTCGATTCATAACTTGTTCCGGTGTAAACAGAATTTATACGGTTCACCGTACTGCAGCTCACTAAACGTTTTTCAGAATGTATGTTATGACATTCTCTGGCAGTTTCTCTTGCTGAAAGAGCAATATCTCCGACAAGGCGCACAAGTTCAATTTTATCTCACACATTTAGTTCTCCCATGATGAATCACTAATTCCCAACACTTTGCAAAATATTTTTCCTACTAATTGGGCATAATCTGACGTTACTGTTTCAATGCAGTTTTTGAGAGCAGCAATAATTATCAACTATAGTCTTTTGTTTCCAAATGGTAAGAGCGCTACTTTGCATATCGGCATGGTATTTTACAGCCAACTAACCAAGATTTGAAAACCATTTAAGAGGTGTGCAGGTAACATTCTATCATGATACAATGTGAATGTTGATTTGACCACAGAATCATCAATATTGAATATTTTCTAGTGAAATTTGGTATTCCACCATTTGAGAGAATGCTCAGTCCAATGGTTATTTTCAATAGTTTCTAAAAAAATCGCTAATACGGATTTCTTGCATTTTAAATATTGTAAAAATATTTTTCAGGTCCCAAAATACAGTTTTTTGAACACTTCAATTCAAAATAAAGTTATTCGAAATTGGAGAAAACATGCAAATTTTATGGAGGAGTCCCACTTTCAAGTGGGTCACACTGTATATGTATGTAATTATATAAGATTCAGGTTTTCAAATTCATACAACAAATTCAATTCAACTATTTTCATAATCGCCCATATGTCTGAAAAATAACAAAAAAAAACAGAGCAAGAGACCTACTTCAGATTTTGCATCATATCAATGCATACCTTATACGCAATTTTGCTTTTATTAACTTTTGCTTTATACAGTATTTCAGAATTTTTTGAGACAGTGTTCATTATTGGACACATCACATCAGTGTTCGTATTATTCTTGGGTTATGTTGTATTTTATTTATTCTATAATATATAGCTAAAGTATATGTAGCTAAAGTATATGTTATTGTCTTGATTTCATATGAATCTTAATGACAAATGTATGTTTTACACTTTTCCAATAAAAATGTTATTTCTTCTTGGGTATTCCAATTGAATATTTAATAACAAATGTAAAACTCACCTGAGTCTCCATTGATAAAACTATCAAAGTTCAAAACACTAAAAAGAAATATAATTGAAAGTATAAACATCTTGTGCAAATTTCAATACTTCTGAAAGTGAATCGATCGAACAAAGTGTATTTATATCAACAAGATAACTCTCATTCTCCAGAATAACTTGACTTGACCCCAATCACTCCTCGAAACATTTTTTATTGTTATGGAATAGTATTGAAAACAGAGCAAAATTTGTTGTGATTCACAAATACCCATCTCTGAGATGATTGTGTACAAACTGATACGATATAATTAGCTAAGATTAGTCTTTAGGAAATATAATATGACTTTCTATTTTTCCATCATTAAACAGAAAGTGTAAAACTTTCAAGGGAGAAATGACATTGATTAAGTATTATAATTTTTTTATGAGAATGTGCATGAAAGTTTCATCGAGATAAAAACTGACAGAAAAAATACACCTAAAACTTCAAAGTTCACCTGAATATTGAAAGTTCTCCATTTGAGTGGAATTTTATGTCGCATCTCTCTCATATGTAAAGTCGTGTAGCGTTCTTTGAATAAAATCTTTTTCGAATTTCAAACTTTGGAATATATCTTTTCATCAGAAGCGATCTCTTTTGTCAATGGAAGAAAATGCAGGAACCCCGAAACTTTGGATGTTATGTGGTTCCAAATAATATCACAGAAGATCACCAAATTCATAATATGCTGCGTTCATCGACCACCTAACGGTACACAATATAGGGCACTATTATTTTCACTTACAAACATCATTGACTTTCTGCAAATCAATCATTCCAGTAACGAAATTTCCATATTTGGTGACTTCAATGTCCACAATATCGAATGGCTCAAATTTTCAAATATCAACGACGAACAAGGTCGCGAAACTGAGGCTTTTGTAATGAACAGCGGACTTACTCAGATTATAAATGAGCCAACCCGGATTCCTGATGGGGAATATGCTAGTCTTCTGAATCTAATCCTAACAACCAATCTAGAAATTCACACTGTGAGATCTCCATTGGGATCTTCTGACCACAAACTCATTTAAGCGTTGAGTAAATTACCGATAAACAATCTAAACCGCGCTAACAGGCATTACAGATCAGCTGAATGGGAGAATTTTCAAAATCATTTTCTAAATTTTCCCTGGCTAGATGTATGTTTCAGCTCTAAAGATCCATCAACTTGTGCTCCTGAAGTCACGGAAGTTATTCTATCATCCATGGATGCATATATTCATTTTCCAATGAAACGCCCTTTTAACGGAAAACCTTGGTTCAACAATAATCTCGCCTACTGGGAGTGGTGCAAAAATCTCAGTGCCGGAAACCGAACTAGGTTTGTTCATTCTCGCAACAGCTGCAAACTCAGAGAATTAGGTATAAACTGCTTGCCATTCCCAACGGGTCTAGATCTTTTTGGTTGGTAGCTGAAGGTGTTAATCAGAACTTTACAAAATCCACAATTCCACCACTAACACAAGCGAATGGTTGAATTGTAACAACATGCACCACCAACTATTCCCACACTAAAATCCACAATGCTGGAAATTACTTTTCGACAGCGTCTTGTCAGGCAAATTTTAAAACAGCTCCATATCAAGAAGGCGTCTGGCCCTGATGAAGTGCCCGTCATTGTACTTGAAAAGTGCGCAAATGAACTCGCACTAGTATTTTGCAGACTTTTCAATATCTCTTACACGAAAGGGGTTTTCCTTTCTTGTAGGAAAATTGCTCACGTTCAGCATATTCCCAAAAAAGGCCAGAAAAGTCTTCCAAATAACTATAGTGCTATAGTGATATCAAAAAGGAGAAAGTCGTAACCACCACACCCTCATATATTTGGAAAATATTTGAGCGATCAACATTATGGCTTTCGGAAACAAATATCAAAAGGAGACCTTTTATCATATGTCACCCATATTTGGAATAACGCAATCGAGAAACATGGAGAGGCATGAGGCATGAGGTTTTGCAAAATTTCGGTGCTATGGCACAATTGTCTCGTCATTCCATTTGGATTCCAGGACATCGGCTACAGAGGCACATCTTCACCGGCAGCAGGAGGTTGCATATCTTAATGAAGATCTAGAAGTGATTTCGAATTGTGGTGAAAGTAATCAGATTCAATTCAATGCCACAAAAACCCAGGCATCGGGTTTTTCCAAGAAGATAAATGTCAGGTCAGACAATTCCGCTTTATGCTTCAAAAAGTTTTGGTACAATCATGTCGCTGAAACTGCAAAAGCCGCTTCTCAAAAGCTTGGAGCACTGTTCCAAACCAGAAAACTGTACACACCCCAGATGCTTTATAAAGCTCAGATCAGACTTTCTTTGGAGTATTATTCTCATGTATGGAGCCCGCCCATACATGAGCCCGCATACCCTGAAGCTGCTGAATTCCATACAGAGAAGAGTCAATTGCAAAGGCTGCTTCTCAAAAGCTTGGAGTACTGTTCAGAGTCAGAAAAGTGTACACGGCAACTTTAGATTCTTCATAACGCTCAGATCAGCCCTTCATTGGAGTATTGTTTTCATGTATCGAGCTCTGCCCCCAAATATATCCTGAAGTTGCTGGACAAAGTCACGGACCGCATCGGGAAACTGTTCAAACGTCATAACACTGAGGTCATTGACAAAACAATTGATCAACAATGCAACACTATTATATAGACCAAGGACAAGAAAAGTCTGTGTCATCCGCCGGTGTTTACATAATTCCCTGTTCTTGTAGCTTTGGTTACATCAGAATCACCAAACGCAACATCAACACTGATATACAATAACACAAGCGTAATTGCCGCTCAATGCAACCGGAAAAATCCGTAATTGTAGAACATGTTCTGGTAGAAACAGACCACGTTATGAAATATAGAAAAACTGCTGTCCTGTCTTATTCAATATATCACTACGTACGACTTCATAGAGGGGTTAACAACATCTATAGGCATCCTTAAAATTCCAACAGAAAAGAAGAAGGTATACGATTCTAGGATACGTGGTATTCAGTACTCGAAAAGGCCAGAAAAAGACTAGAATACAACTCTGATCGACATTTCACTCCACCAATAAGGTTACCTGTTAATCACGTGGACTAATCAGAACAACCCAGTAACAGTACGAACCAATCGGAACGACCCAGAAGAACAGACCAATTAGGAATGAGCATTTGCATGGATACTCAGCCATCACCTCCAACATTAGCCTCGCTACCATCCTCATCATTATCCCCCGTACCCTCTGGAATTATAAAAACGGGGGAGAGATTTCGAGATATAAACTTCTTCGCAGCAGCGCATATATCACTGTCATGTCTGAGCAGTAGCAGATGAAACATTTGATACACCAGATAACTACAACTATTTTAGAAGACAGTATTTTTGGTATAGTGTGGAGAAAGTGTTTCAATAGATTTATTCCACGCCAGAGGTTCCTATTCTACCGAAATGCAGATCTTGTTCTTTGTGTTAAATAATCTCATAACGTAACTACTGTTCCAACAACTACTATTATACCAGTAATTGATGAAATACCGAATGAGTAACTACTTGATGAACTCATAAAATACTATTCATAATATTTTGCTGCGATGAATATAGAACATCAGACTAAAGGAACAATTTAATCAATTAAGGCTTTGGCACGGAGAACGCTGTTGGTTGCGGCGAGCAGCTATTGCGCGATCTATAATGCCACACAGGTTGCGAAATTATTGTGTTCGTTCGTGCATGTATTCGCAATGTTCATTTTTCCTTCTATTTGCTCTAAAGGAAAAGAAGAGAATAATTTGGTGAATACCACCGTTTTTGGATTGAACGCATGAAGATACATTTTTTCAATAATTCTGCAAGTCGAGGTTGTGTTTTGAAGAATTACGTGACCTTTTGAAGACAAATATTGCTGAGTTCACCACGGACTGAAGGAATCCAATTCATACAAGAAAAGTATTAGCCACATGTTTAAGGTAAGTATACTGAAAAACGCACACTGTATGTGTGATATACAAACTACAGTTTAATTACCATGTAGGTAATGCATATGACAAATATAGTTTACCGAGTGTTTTAACTTGTTCAAAATGAAACAGAAAAGTTAAACCCAAAATTTAAACCTAAACCAAAAAATAACAATAGGGTAAGTTGATTCATCCTCCAATTCATCCACTATCATAAATTGAAATGATTATTATTTTCTTCGGAATCCCCTTGAATGATGTCACTTGCTTTTTCATAAACATCTTTTGCTGAACGTCACGATGTCTCCGAATCCAAATGTTGCGTATAAAGTGAAGGATTGACAAAAGAAGCACGAGAATTTGGTTCCGTTGCGTTCGAATACTGCTCCGTTTCGTCCAGGGAATGGGCTGAAGAAGGTTGTGAATGGGATGTGGATGCCTTTGGGGCTGAAGATTTATTTTCATTGTTGCCTGAGTCAATGGATTGCATTTTTGAAGGTCACAGCATAACTTAAAAACAAATGGTCAACACCCATCAAGGTACTGTTTCCTTCTTTCATTTGACAAAAAATCAATCACTTTGTTGACATCATCTGGACAGTTTTCAGTTGATAAGTGACTATAGGACTTCTTGTTTTTGTCGAGCTGGTAATCGTAAAGTCGCTGAAGAATGTTCGCTAGATGCATTTGTTTGTTGGGTATCATCAGACATCAACAAATTTTCTGTTTCAGATAACCTGGTTTCTTCAGTTTCTGTTGAATCTTCTGATGGTATATTGTTTCTATGCGAACGTGTTTCAAGAGTATAACAAAAAAAAAATCATGTGGGTACTCCAAAGCCACTAATGGTATAGTCAAAGTAACCGATATAGTAATCTTAAAGCTATCGGCGAACTCAAAGGCCAAAAAAATCAACACAAAGAACTAATGCCGCTAGGCATTACAGTGAAGAATAGAATGCGAGCTGTCGTGTTGTCAATGTTCAGTTCAGGAACTGATCGCGATTTGAGTGTTGAAATTCGATATTGGTGAAGTAATAATTACTTAAGATTTTTGTTATTTGTTTAGAATGTGGCGTCCTCAGAGAAGTACTAATGGTAATAACGAGTGTGATAACAATGCAGACTTTTTCCTGTGTAGTGATTCCAATAGCAATGGTGAACAATGCGAAAAAGAGTTACCAGTG